CCAGATTCTCCTCTCTGTGCCCCCCGCCCCTCCTGCCAGGCAGATCCCTTCCTCTTCTTCCATTCCCATCACTGCCTCCCTGCTCGGCCGGCTCCTCCATCCCCGCAGCAGTGAGAAGCCTTAATCTCTGGTACTGTGTGAGCACTCTGGGGGCATCCCTCCCCCTTCAGGGGCAGCTAGTGGACAAGGGGGGAGGGTATTTAGCACTGGGGCCTGGAGCTTTTCCCCATTTCTGTATCCCATCCCCCTAAAGTTCAAATGCAAAACACTTGAAGCAGCAACTACTGTACCTGGGCCCCCATCCTGCACTCTCCCCTGGCCCCTCATATGCAAATCAAGGGCTGGTTCTGCCCCCACAGCCTACTCCCCCGCTCCCCTCCCTGCTGGCCTGGCCCCAGCCACGCACTTTAACCCGCTTCTTCTTTTCACTTCTGTTGGGAGGCCAGAGCCCCTGGCCGTTCCCTCCCCGGCTCTCCTCTCTCTTAACTTTGAGGCTTGTCATGAATTTTTAAGTAAGCATTTTATCCTTTAGGGAAAGAAACAAATTAATTTCCTGCCCATTTCAAAACCACAGCCCTCGTATGTCCTATGTGTTTCAGGCATGTGTTTGCATGTGTGCGGAGGGAGGGGCTGTGCTCTTCCTCCTGCGCCCCCATCCTATAGTCCTCTGCTCCTGTCTGCTACCACCTTCCACATGTCCACGAGCACCCACGGCCCCCAGTCACTCCTGATCTGAAGCCAAAGATGGTGGGAGGGGCAGGGCAGACTAGGGACCGTGGCTGCTCGGGACCAGGCTTCCCCTCCCAGTGAGGATGAAGCTCTGATCTAAGGAGAACAACAGAGACCGAGGCGAGGGCTTTGCCTCCCAGCAGCAGGGAGAGGGGTTTGAGCTCGGGGCTGCACTGAGAAGATTCCTCAAAGCTGCACCCTAAAAGCCAAACTGGGCTAGATGAGGAGGGGGCAGTTTCTTCTCTAAATGTAGCATTGAATTTGGCCCTGGTCCCTTCAAACGCCCTGTCCGTCCATCTCCTAGCTAAGCCTCCTGGACAGTTGGACCCTTTCCCACAGCCCATTGTTCCCTTCCTCACACTCAATACCTCAGCCAGGGGCCAAGACACAGAACTTGAATAGAGGTCATGCCCCCTCCGTGCCCACAGTGCGTCCTTGCCCAGTTTGGCTGCCATCAGTATTGTCCCCTGAGAACTGGATGGGCTTCGTTTACACAGTAGAGGGTCTCCCCCTGCCAGGGGACCCCTCATTCTCCTGCCCCTCTCTCATGCTTGCTTTATTCACCATCTTACCTGATTCCAGTTGTAGCCCCTGCAAATCTTGCTACCCTTGCCAAGGGTGGGCTGAGGGGAGAGGGAGCATCCCAGGGCCCCTCCCTCCCTCACAGATACCCTTAACCATACCTCATGCTGGTTCCCTGATGCCTGGGGTGTTTATCCAAGTCCTTATTCTTTTCGTTTCTTTTATCCTCTGTCTTGCTTCCCCCACCCCTCAGTTCCTAAACCATTTCAAAGCTTCCAAATAACCATTATTGGTGAGAAGGATTGTGCAGCTTTTAGTTTTTATTTTTGTTTTCAAAGCCAAAGGGCCTTGCGACGCCCCTCTTGCCCACCTCCTTTTACACCCCGTCCTCCCCTATACGACAATCAATGTGACCTCTCTTAAGGGCTGCAGCCCCCCACCCTGCTGGATCTGCAGAGCTTGCCCCTAACTTTAATTCTCTCTCCTGAAATCTTCCCATTCCATCCCCTCCCTCTCATTTTGGTGCTGGGAATTAGGTGGTGGGGGCGGGGGAGAAGGGAACCGGGTTCTCCAGAGAAGACTCTCGGGGTATCGGTCGTGTTCTCCTTTATCAGCGTTCGGTGATGACAGGAAGCGTCAGAGTGTTTGTCAGGAGCCCCATGGTTTTGCTGGAGGAGATTTCTGGTGGCTGCTCCCGGCTGCCCCGTCAGCACACCGTCAGCAGTGCTGGGCATGTGGGGCATCCTCGTCCTCACGCGGCTGTGAGGCCTGGAGGACAAGCAGCCTCTCCTATGCCAAAGGAAACCCCACCCCAGGTTCTCCAGTCCCTTGTGTTTTTTGAAGCATTTTGACCATTCTCATGGCCACTGCATATTTATTTTAATGTTAAGATTTTTTTTTTTAAACCTCTTTGACTTAAACGGGTGTGGAGAAGTGAAAAACAGGCAGAATGCCCCCCAGTCTTGAGGGGGTAGGTGGGGAAGAAACCTCTCCTTCCCTTCACCTGCCCTCTCCCCTCCCCTCCCCACCGCAGCTAAAGCACTTGCTTCAAGTAATAAGCACTTTTGAGAAAAGGCCTATTTTAAGTGAGGATCCTGGGAGCAGCCCCAGGTCCCAGCAAAGGAGACAGAGCTAGGGCTACATAGGAGACAGGGAAACAGACGTGTAAATCAGAGGGCGAGATGAAAAGAGCCAGTTTTTAGTTTCTGATTTTGTGGGGATATGTCTGATTGGGCGGTGGCTTTGGTAGGGTTGTGTACTATCCTTCAGAAAAGCAAATGGCACAAACTGTGGGTCCCAGGATGGACCAACAGACCCAGGTCACTGCCACTGTCCAGCTGAGACTGACGGGCCACCTCCCCCAACCCTGGCCCCTGAGCCATAGGACTGCTGAAAACCACTGAATGTACAGCCCAGGTTGGGGTGGGGAGCAGCCCCTGGGGGAGGGGGCTTCTCCTTTTGTTTGGTGCTGTGGGGGGTGGGAGAGATGAGACTGAGGGACGGCCACCCCACTTAGACGTGTTCCTTGGGGTGGAGGGGCTGGGAGGGCCTACCCCCTCTCCAGCCCCAGCCATGGCCCCTCCTCCTTCCTCATCCCTATCCGTTTTGACTGTAAGTCCAGCTCACCTTTGCCTTCAATATGTAACCAAAGGAAAACTCAATACTGTTTCCACCGCTGTCTGCCCACCTGAGCACCTTCTTCCTCCCTGGACCTAGAAGGGGAGAAGAGGCTGGGGGCACCGGAGTGTAGGGCCAGAGTGAACGGTTCTACAGCTGTACCCCCAAAACCTTCTCTGGGGTCTTAGAAGGGGCCCTGAGAGGTGGGGTGGAGCCAGGCTGGAGGGGCTGGGAGCAGGCCCACTGTGGATCTTGTGCACATGCGTGTTTTTTCGTTTGAAGGACTCCAGTGACTGTGCTCCAGCAGGGAGGCCCCTTCCTCCTTCCCTCTCCACCATTCCTCACCCTCTCCCCATACCCAGTGTTCATCCCCTGCCTCCCCTTCCCACCGCAAAGGAAAATAGCCTTACAGACCCTCGCCCAGAAACCCCCTCCGGGGCAAACCCCTGTGGGGCCCCATCCTGCCTAGTTTGAACCCTACCTTGTAAGAAGGAGGGAGAAGGAGCAAAGCAGCCCTTCCCCTGATCATGGTGGCTCGTCCCCCGCACCTTGACCCATGCTGGGCAAGGGCGGAGGTGAGGAGTCTTTGAGGACCAAGCCCAGTGGTCTGGGAAGAGGGAGGTGGAGAAGGAAGGGTCTGTTTTGAGGACTCCCTCCTCCCAACCCAACCCCTAGAGAAGCGACCAAATCCCAGAGATGGGAGGAAGCTGGGGTGGGGAGGGTCTGCTCTATGAATTACTTGAAGGTACTGACTCTGAGGCTGCTGTTGCCCACTTAGGTGTGAGGGGGACACTGTCACTGCATCCGGGAGGGCAGAGGGCGGCGGGTGACGAGAGGATCCACCCTTGGCCCATGCTCACTCCTGCTAGGCCCCTTCCCTGGGGAGCCTGGCTTTGCGCCCAGGGAAGTTGGGGAGAGCCTTCCCCCCCCATGTCCATCCCTCACCGTGGGCACCCTCTCCAATTGCACTAAAGTAGCTGTTGTGCCAGTCTTACCCCCACACCAGGTGGGGTCTCTGCTTCCAGTCCTTTCTCGCCCACTGCCTCTGCTCCCATCCCGGACAATCTCCTTGTTCCCTGTATTCCTGGGTAGCTCAGCTTTGTATGTGTGCGTTTGGGGGTGGGGGTGGGTTCTGGCTGGAGTGGGCTTGGTAGGGGTTGGGAAGGGCTAGGGGAAAGGTGGAGGATGAAGTCTCCTCTCCCCTTCCTCAACTCCAAGCCACAGAAGCCTGGGAGGGAGGGTGCCTACTCTCGCTGCTGTGTGTCTCGCAGATGTGCCAAAACGGGGTTGGGTGGGAGGGAGGGTGCCTGGCAGAGTGGCCCCCAGGGTGGCTCTCTCAAAGCAATACAGTTCCTCCTGCCGGGGGGACGGCAAGACAGGGGAGAGGGTTGGGTGGGGACCTGGGGTTCCCTGTGTACAGCTGTGTATATCCAGGGGTGTTCTCTGTCTGGTACTCGCTGCGGACGTCTATGTGTGTGTGATCCTCCCCTTCCTTGTGCCCTGCATGACCTGTGATGCTGCAGACACCACCATCCTGTGTGCAGGGGTGTGTTGGGAGCACGGAGGGGCATGTTCCATGTCCTGTTGTGCCCTCCACCCTGTGACCCATGTACTCGGTTGTAGGAAGTAAAGAGAACTGAGCACAATTCACTGGATTCTAGTGGAATCTTTCTCTAAGCAATGTTCCCCTTCCTGCCCTTCTCCCTGCCTTGGATCCACCTGTGGTGCTAGCGTTGGGGTCGGGGGTTTTAATGCTGGTGGTCAGCAATAACGGGCAGAGCTGCCCAGATGCCTGTATCCCAGGGTGCTGAGGGCAGCAGGAAAAAGGGGGGACCTCAGTGCATTGCCCCATCCCTTCCCCTCCTCCCTGGGCTAAAGCACAATGCTGTCCCCACAGATTGATGCACCCTGCATCCTCCAGCCCGAATCATGTCCTCCCCAACCTGCTTCGAGCCCTCTCCCACCACATCCTGGTTTTCTATGCTGTTTTGGTGCAAGTACAACTGTCGTAGTCATGGCTTTAGGATGGGTTCTGTTTATTAAAATCCTATTGCTCCTACTGGCCCTGTGTCCCGCCTCCATTCCTGTGGTTGGGGGGAAGAAGGGCAGCTGGATGCCTTTCCACTGGCCCGTCAGCCATCAGAGACCAGGGGCCGCAGCTGCTCCTCCAGCAGGGCTATGGTGAGCATGAGGCTGCCTCCCAGCAGCAGCCCCAGCCCCTGCAGGAGCACTTCCAGGGGAGGGAGAGGCTCGGGAGGATGCAGCAGGGATGGCAGCTGAAAGAAAAGGAAAACATCAGGGTCCTGCCTTACGTGTCACCGAAACATGAGGGGGTGTCAGGAAGTAGCAGCCCCCACCCCAGCTCTTCCAGGCCCTGGTCTCTCAGACTCTGCAGGCCTGTGGTCTGCACCCTGTTCCATGTGGCCCTCTCCTCTCCCTCTCCCCCCTCCCCCCGTTCCTCTGCACTACCCCACACCTCACCATGTCCACCAGGGCGACATAGAGGAAGACCCCAGCCGTCACCCCAAACACCAAGGGAGTGAGGGGGACCGGGCCCAAACTGAGCCCCACCCCCAGGGCTGCACCCGCTAGTCCCAGAGCTCCAGACACTAGGCTCAGCAGCAGCAACCGCCGAAAGGGCAGCCCTGCCCGGAGCAGCATTGCAAAGTCACCTGTTAGGAAGAGAGGACAGGGTAGGAGGAAATAAGCCAGGGCTGCCCCTCACCAATGTCACCCGCCAACTTCCACGTTCCACCCCAACCCCACCCTGCCATTCCTACCCAGTTCGTGAGGCAACTCATGGCAGAACACTGCTAGGGTGGTGCTGAGGCCGCTGGAGAAGCCGTCAGAGAAGGCAGCACCTGGGGTTGCAGAACGAGGTGGACAGTCTGGAAGAAAGCGCTCCGCAGGGGCAGGGCCTACATTCCCTCTGCGGTCCTCTCATCTTCCCCTTCCTGGGGCCCTCTCCTACCCCCCCCGCCCCCCCACCAGTAACTGGCGCCCCTGACTGCCTCTGTCCCCTCCGGTCATACCTATGGCCAGCCCATCAGTGAGGTTGTGCAGACCATCTCCCAGGAGGACCATCCATGTTATACTGGTGTCACTGCTACCCCGGAGCCCATGACTGTGGCCTTGGTGCCCGGGAGGGGCTGGGGCTGGCGGGGGGTGGCTGTCCGGCTCCCTGCAGCCCTGCGCCCCTAGCTCTGCAGGAAGGAGGACAAGGAGAGTGTTAGTGGCTGAAAATGAGAGTGGGAGCCTGGTCTTCATTTTCTCCTCCTGTTACCTGGAGCTGCCGGTAGGGGCTGAAGTGCCATCCCGCTGCTGTCCTCTGGGTCCAGGTCTGGTCTGAGATCCTCCCTTTTCCGCCTGCAGCATCTCTGAAATAGGAGGGTATCCCTCCTGGTGGAGGAGGCAGCAGAGCTGGGGGCTAAGGAGAGGCCAGGCTACCGGCTGGGAAATGAACACCTGGTTCTGTCTTTGGCACTTGGGGATTTTTTTTTGGCCTCTACTCTCTTCCCAGTTTGGCATCTTCCTGCTGTTGCCTTGAACTCAGGAGAGGAAGCTATTGGGCCAGACAGAGTCCTGAGCCTGTGCTGAGGGAGCCCGCCCATTCCGTTAGCAGTCAGGGCCTGCAGTCAGGCAAATGGCAAAGCCAGGAGCACACTCAGCCCCTCACCTTCTGGTTCATGTGGCCAGTTCTTGGCTGGGACTCTGATCTCAGTAGGAGGAGGAAAAAAGAGTCTCACTCACTGGCCTGAGCCCTCGGCGCCGCAAAATCCCTAGCATGTTCTCCAGCAAGAAGAGCAGAAAGAGACCGCCAAGTACCGACAGCCCTGGACCCAGGTCTTCCTCTGGTCGCCCACTAGGTCCGGAGTGATGCCCTCCTTGTGCCTGACAGAGAGGAGGTCAGGGCAGACCCCAGAAACCCCTGCACCCGGCACCATCCCCCTCCAGGTATGAGGTGGCAGCCTTCACTCCCATTCTACCAGAAGGCAGCTGTGGGCTGACGGGGAGGGATGTCCTGTGACTGGGAACACCTGGATATGAGGGGCTGTCCGCCAATGGGGGCAGGGGAATAAGGAAGGGGATCCACGTACATGTGGCAGCAGGTGTAGCAGCGCATCCCCACAAAGGGTGCCCACGGCCAGGGCCCCCAGGAAGCCCAGCAGGGGCCGCAACAGACGAGATCCCAGGAGGCGAAGCAGCAGCAGTGAGAGGGGTGTGGGGAGGCTGAGCAGCAGGACCGCCAGGGCGCTGTGAGCCAGGGCTGGAAAATCGGGGGACGGGGGCTAAGAGGCAAAGATACACTGCAAGGGGAGGCAGTACCCCGATGAACCCCTTCCTTGGCATGGAACCCACTCCCTACCAGGATTGAGGGTGCCCCCCACCACCCACTCTCACTCACTGACCAGATAGTAGATCCCCTGGTGGGGTTGGAACGGGGGCCTGGATGCAGACACGGCTGTCGATCTGGTAAAGCAGGGCTGGGCATAGCAGAGCGAACTGCCGCGGGGTCAGCGGAGCAGCGGGGCTCAGGCCAAAGTTGACCAGCAGCTGGGAGCCGTTCAGACACTAGGGGAGTTGAGTTGGGAGTCACATTCAACGGTTACTCCGATCTGCCCTTCCACCACCTGGACTCCTGGGTCTCTCCCAGGCCGCCGCCCCCCCCCCCCCCCCCCCGTGCATCAGGGAGGGACTGGGGGACTGGGACAGGTACTCAGTATGTGTTAATTAGTGAATATTCAAATAGTCAGTCCGATGCAGATTGGCTGCTAGTGAACAGTGCCACCATTTTCCTCCCTCCCGAGCACCTGGTGATTTCACTGATTTAATCATGGAGTTGGTTGGACAACTAGAATTCTCCAGTCCAGATTCTTAGAAGGAAAAAAAACTTGTAAAGCCATCAAACCTTCCTCTCAGCAGCCCTGTCACCTGTTTACCCAGCCTTGGCTTGAGGGCTTCCTCTATGGGTGCTCACCCTCGCCAGGCCTGCCTCAGGTTAGCTCTGGCTGCCCTCTGGTGTATGTGGAACCAGTTCTGTCTTTTCTGGGTGAAGACAGCTGTCAGCTCTCTGCAGGTCTCCTCTCCAGATAGCCAGCCCCACAGCCTACCCTGGGCTGCTTCTCTGGTTTCTCAAGTGTGACACCGAAGCCGGAATCACCTACCCTAAGCCCACATCTGGGTTGCCCTGGCCAGTGTAGCTCAGTTGTTAGAGAGTCAGACCTGAAACCAAAGGGTCTTGGGTTTGATTCTCAGCCCAGATGGGGGGCATGTGGGAAGCAACCAATCGATGTGTCTCTCACATCGATGGATGTTTCTCTCTCCCACCCTTCTCCCTCCCACTCTCTCTAAAAATCAATGGAAAATATCCTTGAGTGAGGATTAACAACAGCAAAAAAGACCACATCTGGATTTTTAAAAAAGGAACTGTATTAAATTACTGACTCGTTATCCCTGGCTGGGTAGCTAGTTGTTTAGAGTGTCATCCCGATACACCAAGGTTGTAGGTTCGATCCCCAGTCAGAGCACATGCAAGAATCAACCAATGAGTGCATTAAATAGGTGAAACAGGGTGGAGGTGGGGTGAGTGGAGGTGGAAGAGGGCATTGAGGGGATAAATGATGATGAAAAAAAAAGTGGAACAAATCGATGTTTCTAAAATCACTAAATAAAATTATTGTTTTTTTTTAAGTTACTGACTCTTTAAATATTTCATGCCATCTAAATCCCATGGCTCCTTCCCCTTCTCCAGGGATCATCAGACTCACATCCTCATTCCGATGGTCAGCCAGCGAATGGTCCAGCAACAGAAGCCTGTGAAACAGGTCCAGGCCCGAGGGGGCTGGCCCATGGGGTGGGTGGGGGGCCTTTGGCTCCTCAAGGTCACCCCACCCTGAGGGACCCAGAGGCAGCTCTGACCAGACATCCACATTCAATTTGGGGTCCTGAGGCCTAGATGGATGGGATAGAAAGTCAGATGGCCAGCCCCGGCCGGTTCGGCTCAGTGGTTAGGGGTCAGCCTGGGACAGAAGGGGCTGGCTCGGGTTCGATTCCTGGTCAAGGGTATGTATCTGGGTTGCAGGCTTTGATCCCCAGCCCGGTCGGGGCACGTGCGAGAGGCAACCCATCGATGTGTCTCTCACATCGATGTTTCTCTTTCCCTCCCTTCCACTCTCTAAAAACCAATGAAAAAAATATCCTCGGGTGAGGATTTAAAGAAAAAAGCAAGTCAGATGCCCATGTTCTCTGAGAAGTCCCACTTGAGAGGCTACCAGGGAGCTTAGAGGAAGAGGGAAGACCAGGCACTGGCTGGAGTTCCTGGGATCCAGAAACCATAAAATGTCAGTCCTGGGAGGGTCTGAGAATTGTCAGCTTATAGGAATATGGGGCATGGGTGTGAGAGGAAATAGGAGTCAGGGAACAGCCAGAAATGCTACAAATTGGGAGGCAAGTCAGCCTGGAGATATTGAGCTTTGGGACTAAAAGCAAGGAATCGAAGGGCACAGGGATTTGGAAAAGGAAAGAATGAGAAGGCAATAGAGGCAAAAGAAGCCTTGAAGGGGATACAAGGAGTCAGCTTTTGAACAGTCTGTAACCTCAGAAACCTTACTTTAGGAACCAGAAGTAGACAACAGGAGAGGCATCTGAGCACCAAAAAGAGCTGGGATGGGGACTGGGGGCCGGGGCGAAGGGTTAGTACCTGTGTGTGGCGTTGTCTCTTGCTGGGGGTGCAGGCCGGCCAGCTGGAGGCCCGTGCTGTCCCAGGCGCAGCCCCTGAACTTGGCCTAGCCCCAGGCTGTGGAGAAGCCTGGCCAGGCCCCCTGCAGTCAGCGTGCCGTTCTCCCCGTACAGGTCAAACAGCTGGGCCAGGTAATGGTTCTGCTCCAGCTCAGCAGGGCCCAGGTTGGGGGCTGACCCCCCTCCCCAGCTCAAGGCCGCACACACACAGAGGCCAGCCAGCAGGTGACTGGTCGGGAGCCCCATTGTTGGGAGGAACTGGTAAGAGGCTCTGGTTCTAGCTTCTATTCCCCCCGGAACATCCTGAGGACTGTGCCCTGGAAGAACAAGGAGGAAGGGTCAGTGCTCCTGCCCTGCTGCTCAGCTCAGGGCCAGAGGGGACCCCTCACTCCTCGTTCAGCCCCCACATTAAATTCAGCAGCAGCCCCCCTCTAGCCTCCCTCCTCCCTCCATGGCCTCCAGCTGGAGCAGTCTCTCCTCTCCTTTGCCAGTTCCTAGAACACCGTGACTCCAAGTGCTCGCCTCACCTGACCCAGAGCTGACAGCCTATTCCGTCCCCTAAACCCTCCCCCACCTCTGTCTCCCCCGCCAACCCCCAGAACCTCACCTCCACTGGCAGAAGAACCTCGTCACCTTCGGTCGCGTCAGGCCTTGTGGACACTAAGAGGTTCCTGGGTCGGGAAGGGGAGCCGGAGGGGCTCAGCCTCCAGGCTCCCAGGTGGAATGGAGGCCACGTCAGATGGAAGGCTGGGATGGACAAGCCCCCCCCTTAGCCCACCTGCCTCGGGGCGGGGCCAGGGGTGGGGCAAGTGTGGGAAGGCTCACATGGTGGAGGAGTTAATGGTTCACTGGTCTCTTGGATGGGGTCAAAGGTCAGTCTCTGCTAGGGCCCCCAGTAGGGAGGGGCCACCCTCTGCCCCTGGAAAAGCCACATGGCTAAGGAGAATCTAGGCCTGGTCTTTTCTTCTAAGTACTCTACCCCCTAACCCAGCTGGTACCCTCTTAGCCTTTCCCTGCATACACTCTCGCCCCCCACCCTGCATCCAGCACTGGGCTTCACTCCTCGCCACCCCATCCCCACCCCATCCCCACGTTCCCGGGACAGCTGGACCCAGCTGTTCTCAAACTGGAGAGTTGGGCGAAGAAGCAGATTAAGTGGCAACCCACGTGCATAGGAAAGGCATTGTTTTTGGGAATTCCCACCCCAGAGAGTAAGAGCCGGAGCTCTGGGAATCAATGACCAAGCGGGGAAGCTCTGTGGAGCGGAGGGAAGGAGTGTCTCAGCTCCCGCTGATGTCTGACCTGGCTCAGAATCGGGGGAGCAGCCTGACTGGGGTGAGTGGTCCAAGGGGTTGAGGCTGGGATTACCTGATAGCAGGAGACAGAAAGGACGCCCAGAGGAAGGGGGACACAGCCGTCTAGGTTCCAGCTGTGAGGGGGGTAGACAGGCAGGCGGGCAAGGGTCACCTGCAGGGAGGGGGCAGGGGAGGGACACTACCTTAAAGGGGCAGGCCTGCTTTGCCTGGGCCTCCTTGCCGGTAACCTGTCTCCTCTCCACCTCCGAGGGCATTTCCCAAATGCCCAGCTGCTAACCTTGTCATTTCCCCACAAAAAGCAAAGGAGTCCAGTACAGAGTAGTAACATTTATTGGGAAGAAGGGATTCAATTAGATTTCCACATCACACATGTACAAGAAACAGACCGTAACGCATTTCTGAAGAGGAAGGAGGGCAGGCAGGGACCCTAATCCCAGGGCACAGGCAGCTTCAGCTGGGTAAAGGGGTGAGTATGGGTGTAGGGTGGATAAGGCCGCTTCTCACCACCCCTTTAGTGAAGTTTAGTGGCTAAAATATTGCTACCTATCCCTTCCCACCCCCAAGCCAGCAGCCCAGGAGAGGCTGTGTTCTCTAGCAGACACTTGGGGTATGGTCAGCGGTGGGGAGGGAGGAAGAATGTCTTGCTATCTCTTGCTGCTTCTCCGGGTTTCTTTGCCGTTACTGACAGGGTTGTTGGAGGGGCCAGGAGGGCCGGCAGGTGTGTGGTTGGGTTGGCTTCGGGTGATCCGGGTGCTGGGCGGGTGGGAAGGAGCGTGAGGGGGGTGCGGGCCACCTCCAGGACCTGGGGGGGCACTCAGTCCATTCCCGTTCTGGCTCTCAGAGGCTGGTTGTGGGAGAAGGGGAAGAAACACAGAAATTAGAGAACTAAGGTGGGAGAGGGTGCGTCCCCAGGGCGTCCTCCTATCCCCCAGAGAACCACACAGTATTTCATCAGCACAGCTGCACATTAATGGCAACTGGACCAAGTGCAAAGAATGTGGGTTGTATGAATGGAGCCCCAGGAAAGACTCTGTCAGTTTAGAAGTTGCTACATGAACTCTAGTATGGTATTTTTCTCTTTGATTCATCTTGTATCATTGGGAGTCAGACCTAGAATTAGCTATTTAGTTCTAGGCTCAAGGACCTCTGACAAAATGCCCCTGTACCAAAAGTGACTGTGAAACTGGAAAAGCATGGGAAGGGGAAGGGCCTGAAGTTTCTGTGTTATAAGAAGGACCTTTAAGGAAAAAAACACAACACAATAAACCCACACTCTTTCCCACAGAGCCACCCAATCGAATCTTCTTTGAATCTTCTTATCGAGTGTCCTTTACTAAGCTCCAAGGCCCTTCTTTGCCTCTGTAACTTGTTTCTTCAGCTCTTTTCTTCTACAGCTCACTTCTACCGCTGTAACTTTCTAAATAAACTTTCATTTGTGTGTGTGTGTGTGTGTGTGTGTGTGTGTGTTAAAAAGGCCCGGTGTGTATCACAATGACACATGTGCATTTTGGAAAATACAGATGAGAATAAGGAAAAAAATTATTACACATTCTCTCACCCCACCCCTCTTCACTAATAAATAGCGTGTGTGTGTGTGTGTGTGTGTGTGTGTGCGCGCGCACGTGCATTTTAAATGTGTGATTACAGCAGGTGTGTGAGATGACTCCCTGGTGCTCCCACAGCTGTGCATATCACTGTTCTTGCACTCATGGTGTATTATAATCATCGTCTGTGTGACTATCTTTTTTTTCAAAACATACATATATATATTTTTAAATACATTTTATTGATTTTTCACAGAGCGGAAGGAGAGGGATAGAGAGTTAGAAACATCGATCAGCTGCCTCCTGCACACCTCCTACTGGGGATGTGTCCGCAACCAAGGTACATGCCCTTGACCGGAATCGAACCTGGGACCCTTCAGTCCACAGGCCGATGCTCTATCCCAGGGGGTCCTCAAACTACGGCCCGCAGGCCACATGCAAATACAAATATTGTATTTGTTCCCGTTTTGTTTTTTTACTTCAAAATAAAATATGTGCAGTGTGCATAGGAATTTGTTCATAGTTTTTTTTAAACTATAGTCTGGCCCTCCAACGGTCTGAGGGACAGTGAACTGGCCCCCTGTTTTAAAAGTTTGAGGACTCCTGCTCTATCCACTGAGCCAAACCAGTTAGGGCTCAAAATATATTTTTATTGATTTCAGAGAAGAAGGAAGAGGAAGAGAGAGATAGAAACATCAGTGGTGAGAGAGAATCATTGATTGGTTGCCTCCTGCATGCCCCCTACTGGGGATTGAGCTCACAACCCAGGCATGTGCCCTGACTGGGAATTGAACCGTGATCTCCTGGTTCATAGGTTGATGCTCAACCACTGAGCCACTCTGGCAGCCATCTCCTTCATAGACTACAAGCTCCTAAAGGCAGGTGCTGTTTTATTTATTCCTTGGCATCCCTTATCTATAAAAGTTTGTTAAATGAAGGCAGATGTCTGCCTCTCACGTACTAGGGCACTGTGAACGCTAATGGGGTAGAAGTTATAGGCTAGTGCTTCTCAGACCACATTCCTGTTGAACCCTACTCTACCAGACTAAGATATCTGCAGCCAGAACTGAAAAAATAACGCCCTTTCCTCGATTCACAGAAAACATTTGGAATGTGGAGAGTGTATAGAAAGTCAAAGGTAAGTTTTAATGCCAGATGTGTTTTTTAAGCCTTTTGGATCTACTGGCAGAGGACAAAGTGGATAAACATCTGGCCAAGAATACCAGGGTAAACGGGCTTAAATGTACCATCACTAAAATGGAGACCTGGAAATATGTAATAGTCATATTTTCAGTTAAAAACATGGATGTTAACCCCCCCCCCCATGTTAATTTTTGTGGTGGAATTAAATGTTGCTATTTCATAGTGTTTCTAAAAAAACACATGACTCCTGGTGGTTCTGACACAAACAATTCTGAAAAACCATGGTAACGGGGGATGCAGACACAAACGGGAAGGGCTGAGGCAGCCTGAAGCCAGTGTCACAGGGAGAAACCTAAGGCATGGACCGGAGGCAAGATAGAGCCACACACTCAGGGAGCAGGAGGGCCCGCTGCGAGCTGACCCAGAAGGAGAAAAGAGCAGTAAAAACCAGGTTCCTGAGGAGAAACCACCACCAGACGAAGGAGGTGTGCTTGTGTGTTTGGGGATGATTCTAATTAAACGCTGATGACGAGCAGTAAGGTCCCAATTCCTCAAGAGACCAAAAGCAGGGGCTTGAAGTACATGAGAGGGAAGAATCATAATCCCAAGGCCGAGAGGGCCAGCGGGGCCATTGGTTTCAAAAGCTGTGCAGAGAGTGCTCTATGATGAGTCATACAAGAAACGCTGTGTATTAGAACTGGGTAACAAATCAAAACGAGCAAGAGAAAAGGGCAGGTTCTGCCAAAAGAGAAGCGGAGAAAGACAAGCTAGAATGAAGGAGGACAGTCTTTGTGGACAAACTGTTCTCATGTTTGTTTGCCTTTGAGTGGTAGTGGCAACAGGGTGCCAAGAGCTCTACCAGTCATAGAAACAGGTCCCCAACCAGATCTTTTCACCACAGGGATTTGCAAAAGAACTGGGAGAAGAATTGGGTGCAAGGGGGGAGGGGAGTATACAGAGAAGAGAGATTTGGGAAAGGGATAAGGCTGGTCACCTCTCCAGGCTGGGGAGAGTAGGGGAACTAGGTGGACCCGTGCATGGAAGGAAACAGGTTTACCTGGAGAAACAGCAGGGGGCCCAGTGGCAGGCTGGGGAGCTGCAGGGCTGCTGTCGTTCTGCACCTGAAGGTACAAATTAAACTCAGACCTTTCTTCCTACCATGCTTCTCCGCCTGCCCTGCCCGCCCCCACATCATGGTCATGGGACTCACCGTCTTGTTGGGTGCTTGCTGAGCACTGTACTCTGGGTTTGGCTCACTGAAGTTAGGAACCTCAGAATAAACCATACAGAATCTGCAAGGAGAGAAGGTGGCCAAAGCTTCAGACCCATCCTCTGGGCCAGTGCTAGAGGCCTCCAGTATAGGACATGGACTGCACACCCTCATGCTGCCTTCTTGCAAACCTTAAATTTCCCCTCTTGGCCTGCTGCTTCTACATCCCCAAACCCAAGAGCACTTACTCTCCAATCTTCTGAAGATCGCCCCCACGACCAGTGTACAATGTCAGACAACCTTTGAACACTGAAGCGTACCTGTGGGGGCACAACATGCAGGATTCAGAGTACTCAGAAGAGTTACAGGGACGGTTAAACCCTCCCCCCCTTGACTGCTACTGCCCTGGGATAGCCAGCAGTCACCAGCTGGCTTACCCTTTGGTGAGCCGGATAATGTCCCCAGGCTGGATCAGGTTGCCCACGTCGTCCCAGACGGAGATATTGATGCTGCCCGTTTTGTCTGCCACTTTGCAGGTCCGAACTTCGTGACCGTCCTTTGTCTTGGTCACTCGGCCTGGAGGGAACAGATAAACAGAGTGGGGAGTGGTCAGAAGGATGAGATCTAGATATATTGACATATTGGTGGGGGTGAGGGAAAAGTACAAACAGGGCAAAGCTAAATCTCTGGGGCAGGCTGGGGAGGGGGTGGGGAGTGGAGGAGCCGGCGCCGAGGCGAGGGTGCTGAGCGGAAAGAGGCCCCTGAGACACTGGAGGCTTGGATCTGGCAAGAGTTGCATGTACCCTACATTTCAGGGCAACTCCCTGGGCTGGGGTCTAGGAGAGCGACTGGGCGTGAGCCATGTTTTGGGGTGCACCGTGCCACGCCGGGAGCAAATTAAGAACGGAGGTGATGTTCTTCCCTTTCTGCCCCCCAACCCCGAGAAGCCCCACAGGAGGTCCCCGGCCCCAGCATAGCCACCTGTCTCCAGCACAATGAAGATGAGGTTCAGATTCTTGAGCCCGGGCTTGATATCCTTCACGAAGGTCTCCGTCGTCATGCTGCCTGAGCCTCGGAACCCCACTGGAAGGAGGGAGGAAAAGGGGATGAAGGCTCATCGCCCGGAGCCTTCGCCCCCATGCTCCACTGCCCAAGGTCCACCTACCACACTCGCCTGGGGTCAGGCAGCCTCAAACCCTCTCGCTCTTCTGAAAGGTTAGAAATGAACTTTCCCGGGGGCCTCCAACTTCAAGA